TGCTGGCTCTGCGACCCCTGCTCCGGGGACGGCCCCGTAGGCAAGGGAGTGGAAACGCCAGAGCTGGGCAACAGCCTCCTGCCGACCCCAGTGTGCTCAGAGGACCCCGAACGGGGCCCAGGGCCAGCTCCAAAACACCACCCTGCTGGGGGCATCCCCCTCCCCGGCTCCAGGCATGGCCCCATCACAGACCTGGCACAACTTCCCAGGGGCTGACCACCCATCCGTCTGTCCATCCCTCAGCCCACACAGGGCAGGGAGCCATGGCTCTCCAGCGCCCAGAGCTGGGAGCTGATCGCTCTCACGGCTGGGGCCCAGGACATGTCGGGGCAGCTCAGCTCAGCCCCAGCAGTGAGAGGCAGTTTCAGCTTCTTTCCTTCCACCCTGGGAAAACCACGGGCTAACCCGGACAGGGAGGAAGCGTGAAGGAGGAAGGAAACATTCACGCGTCGCGGGGTTTTGGATGAAGCCTGGCTGGAGGTATCCACCATCCTCCCGTGTCCCACCCCGGGGAGACCCACCAGCAGCTCCTGAGCCAGCACCTTCAGATGGGCCGGGAGCACGGGCTGCGAGAGCCACCGCGGCACAGATAAACAAGCACATCTGGGGACATGTGGGCTCTACGACCCGCCCCGCTGTTTGCCAGGATCCCAGCCCGGCCAATGAGCCTGCCACTCGCGTGGAGTAAACACGAACGCAGTCCCATCATGGGCTGGTGGCACCGGCAGCAGATACGGCACCGGGGACAGAGTGAAGAAACCCGTCATGGTGCCAGCTCCCCAGCCGGGAGAGGGTCAGGGGGGCAGCACCTACAACAGGGAGGACAAACCGACACCAGCTCTTGTTTGTGAACAGGAGGAGCGCAGAACTGGTTACTGGGTAGGGGTTATTCGCTGTTTCTCAAAAACACAAGCTAAGGCCCTCAGCCAGGTGGGTGACGCAGGGGGACTCGGGCACCAGGAGGGTCAGGGCACAGGACGGGGCTGGACACTCATGGGGCAGCCCCTGCCTGGTCCCAAAGGATCCCAGGGGATGCAGCAAACCGCCATCCCTCTCCCATCCCCTTCTCCACAGCATCAGCTACTGACCGCTGCCCGGAGCACGGCTCCGCACGACCACGAGACCTCCGGGAGATGCTGCTGCCCTCCCCAGACCCCCGCACTGGGGTGGCTCCCCGGGAAGGCAGCTGGTCGCGGAGCAGGGCAGCTCGTACCTCTCCGAGCGACAGGC